CGCGCGCGCGCGAGCGCGCGCGTGCGCGCGCGCGTCCCGGGGGGGGGGCGCCCGCAGGAGCTGCGGTTCCTGAATATCAATTACGCGAAGTTCTCCGAGATCATGGGCAAGTACGACGACGGCGTGTTCGGGGGGGGCTTTCCGAATTGGCAATCTGCGTGGGCGCGCAAGAGCAGATTCCCGCCACTGGCGTCCGTCGAGCCAGAGCCAGCAGATAACAGAGTTGTGGCGGGGGAATCAGTTTGTGTCATCGAAGTGGATGAATGGATCAACGCGGCCCGCCTCGAGGAAGCCGCGGGCACGGGGGCCGTGTCAACCAAGGTCGCGCAGGTCAAGCAGCTTCTCGAGGCCTACCGCCTTCGCGGCAGCAGGCGCGGCGATTGGGGGGTGCTCAAGGTCGCCTACCACCGCAAGCATGGAATACCTGGCAGGTGGCACGCGGCAGGCCCTGCCATGCAATCTTTTTTGAACAGAGGCGCCAAGAGCATCGCCATGGCCACGGAGGTCGGGGCTTCGGCGGGCGGCGACATGATATTCGTTGACGTAGATATAAATAACTGCTTCTGCACCATTCTCGTCAACCTCCTGAGAGAAGCCGTTGCCGACGTGGAGGATTTCCGGATACTCGTTAGTTTCAGCGAGAACTACAAACAGTGGCGGGCGTTCATGATGGAATACTTCGACATGCCCCCGAAGGCTGCCAAAAAAAAATCTTAATTCGGTTGGTTCACTTGGGGAAGCCATCGCACGACATTCCTTTCTTGTGGAACTTGTCAGTGCAAATCCACGCAGCCGTGGACATCGTTCTGGGCATGGACCGTTTTGGGTACTTGGCGTCCCACTTCTCGGAGAGGCCGAATCCCCGTGGGTCTCGCATCCACTTTGCTTTGGCCGCGGTGGAAGAAGACATCATGAACGACTTGGTGCGCGGATTACCCAGTCACGCGCCGAGTTGCGAGGTCAATGCCCTCGTGCTGGACGGGGCCATATTGCGGATGCAAGAGTCGAGTTTTGATGCTCTACTTCAGCACCTCGAGAACGTGGGTTCCAAGCACGGCGTGTCGTTCTCGACCGACAAGTTCGACAGGCTCGGCGGCGCGCCCATTGCTTTCTCTGCAGACCTGATAGGCAGATTGAAAGAATAAGTAAACGCCGCAGACCTGAGTACGTGCAAGGACGGTCAGAATCGCTGGCGATGCCCGCACTGCCCCTATCGCCACTTCCAGCGTCTCGCATTCCTCGAAGACCATCACTGGTACCATCAGCAAGAACCTGTTCTTGGGGGCGCATCCGGTCGCCAGGCGATGGTGATCGAGAACATGGCGAAGATGGATCAACTACAAATCAACGTTTCCTTTTTGACGGGTGCCAGGCAGCATGGCGGCGAAGGCTACTTAGGACGCAGCGCCCAGCTTCTCCGTGATTCCGTTGGGGTCGACAATTTGCGGAATGCGAACGATGTCCGCGCTCACGTCATCCTCGACGTTCGCGGCCCCCGCTTTGCTGTCGACGACCAGGGCATCAGGATTACCCGCAACTACCGCGTCACTCCCGAGTTTCTGCTCCTTGCGGTGTCATTCAACGATAGTCGCACGCAGAGCAAGTACTTGCGAATTCGGGACCGCATCATTGAGCACTACATATCGCACGGTAGCGAACTGAGCTTCGTGGCGCCTACCATGAATACAGTGTGGGAGCAAATTTACAAGGCTGGGGTTCAGATCTCTGCGGCATATAAAAAGAAATGCGTCGACGAGTTTAGCTTCCGCGTGATGTCTTTCGATTCATCATATAAATGCACGCTAGCTGTGGTCGGGCAGACAAGCCACGGAAAGAAGAAGGACGATTCCGATCGTTCTGAGTTCCACTGCGTACACGTGATGATCGCGGACGGCGTGCCAGTATCTTGCAAGCCAGGGCACAGCGAAGGAGTTCCAGAACTTTCAGATTTCATCAAGGCAAACGCAACGCTTGCGCAAAGGCGCCAAGCGGAGATTATCCTTTTTGATACACCGGAGAAGTGGGACATGCAGAAGGCGCAGAAACTCTTTCCAAACCTAAAATGCGTCGGCGGTGACCCTCTACACGCGTGGATGGACTTAGTGAAGTTCATCAAGGAGGGTGACCAGCTGAGCAGGGACTTCAAGAAAATCGTTCTGAAGTTCAATGGGGGACCTGCGCCGAGTCTGAAGGCGAAGCGCTACTTCGACGGGAGCCAGCCCAGGGGTCGGGCGCACGTGGATTTCAAACCGTGCCCCTCGGATCTTCGCAAGGCGTATGAACGTTTGCAGACAACGGCTTACCAGGAAAAGGCTTACCTGAACCACAACAGTATTGCCTTGACATCATGGCAGCGATGAGCCAGAACGAGAGGTCGTGCCAGAGACCACTCACAGGCCGCAATGCCCAGTCGACGGTCAGCGATCTCCTCTCCAGGTACATGGCGCCCGCAAAGTATTTGTACTACCAGAACATATCCGTGCACAGAATGAGAACGGGGCTGCCGTGCCAATACGGGCAACTCCTAATGAAGCAGTCATGTTCCAGCTGAAGGCGTACAACGCCAATGTTTTCGCATCGACTCGCCAGCGGTGTGAGTTCACGTTGGACTTGTTCACCTTCGGGAAGGTTGTGTCTACTGCTACATGAAAAGAAGAGCGCCTGAAGGGATGTCCAAACTTTCCCCCGTGTCTTGTCATGCCCATGCGATGGCCCTCCTGAGGCGACAGCTCGAGTTGGGACATGTGAAAGCTCCGAGCTCGAAATGTGTAGAGGAGTGGCAGGATCCCCAGGTTGTGACAAAGGGGAGCAAACGCAAGCGCAGGAGCGCCAGCGCGCCAGCCAAGCGCCAAAGGCGCTAGCTGCATGCCAACTGCGTAGACATCATTTCCCATCCTTGCACACCTCTGCTCCTTCACTGCATTCTGTCAGTTTGAATTGCTGCCCCGCGGAAAACATAAGCCACCTGAACTTGATTTGGCGAATCGAAATGGCCTTCGGCAGTTCCGTGGCCCCCTCGCATTCTGTGGAAATCTGGATCTGGAATCTACCGAATTACATTTGAATTAAACATATTAAAAATTGGAAAACATTCGGGATTAGGATCTGCCCGATAAGCGTTTATTTTGAATTAGAATGTTATTAGATATCAGATTTGGGTTTCATGTCCAGGGCCCTCCGAGCGGCCCAGGGGCCCTCCGCTCGGCGACGCGGAGGAGGCAGGAACATAGGAAAAACACATTAGAATAAAAGGAAAACTTTTGTTTTCTCATGGAAAATGGGAAAATTCAAAAAAAAGAACGACAGTCACATGTTTCGTTGCGTTTTCTTTTCTTTGTGAAAACACAAGTGTTTCATTGTTTTTCCTGTGTTTCCTATTTTCCTCCTCCTCCCCCCGAGGGCCCTGGCCCTCCGAGCTGCCCAAGGGCCTTCCGCGCAGCAGAGCGGAGGAGGAGGAAAATATGAAAAACAGGAAAAACAATGAACAACTTGTGTTTTCACAGAGAAAAATAGGAAAAACTTTTTTTTTGTGTTTTTCACAGAGAAAAAAAAACAAAAAAAAAAAAACGACAGTCACAGGTTTCGCTGCTTTTCCTTATTTTTCTCTGTGAAAACACAGGTTTTTCATTGTTTTTCCTGTTTTTCATATTTTCCTCCTCCTCCCCCCGAGGGCCCTGGCCCTCCGAGCTGCCCAGGGGCCCTCCGCGCAGCAGAGCGGAGGAAAGGGAAATAGGAAAAACAGGAAAAACAAGGAAAAACTTGTGTTTTCACAGAGAAAAATAGGAAAAACTAAAAACAGAGCGACAGTCACAGGTTTCGTGGCTTTTCCCTATTTTTCTCTGTGAAAACACAGGTTTTTCCTTGTTGTTCCTGTTTTTCCTGTTTTCCTCCTCCTCCCCCCGGGGGCCCTGGCCCTCCGAGCTGCCCAGGGGCCCTCCGCGCAGCAGAGCGGAGGAGGAGGAAAATAGGAAAAACAAGAACAACAAGGAAAAACTTGTGTTTTCACAGAGAAAAATAGGAAAAACTAAAAAAAGAATGACAGTCACAGGTTTCGTGGCTTTTTCATATTTTCTCTGTGAAAACACATGTTTTTCCTTGTTTTTCCTGTTTTTCCTATTTTCCTGGCAAGTTTCCGCGGCCCCTCCTCCCTCCTCCTCCCTCCCTTCTCCTCCATCCTTCCTTCTCCACTGCAGATACAATATGATTGCAATAAGAAAGCAGTATGAACATAATAAGATTACATTCGAGATGTCCTCCTCCCCACCTCCCGCCTCACACGCCATCCTTCTCCAGAAAGATTGTATAATATTCCATTATGAATATCAATGTTTGCAGGGCAAAAAAGCGGCGGTTGTAATCGCACAAACAAAGGGTCCTACGGGGGGGGTCCCCCCCCCCCCCCTTGGGGCCATCCAGCGGCGCGCCCCCAAGCAGCCTCCTTCTAAGAAGCCTTCCCCCCTCCCCTTACCCCTTTTATGCGCGCCGCCAACAAGTGGTGATGATTAGGAGGAGGGCCAGGGGGGAGAAGGAGGGAGTAGGGAGAACGGCGAGGGGGGAGGCGTAGTAGCAGTAGCAGGAGGAAGTGAGGGAGGGAGGGCGGGAGGGATGGAGGGGAAAGAGGAGGAGGAGAAGGAGGAGGAGGAGGAGGAGGAGGAGGAGGAACAGAGAGGAGGCGAAGGAGGTGGCGGTGGAGTGAGAACAAAGAGGACGACGACAATGAGTGAGGAGGAGGAGGGGGGAGTGTCGCGGGGCCCAGGAGTACCAGAAGCCCGCGGCGAAGCTGGCCATGGCCCAGAACTTGAAGGCCCCCACTGGGGACTCTTGTCTGCGCGCCAGCACGACGCCCCACTTCTAATCGTTTCTAGGCAGGGACGGTTGGGAGAGGGATCAGACGTGCGGGTCTTTTTCAAAGTAGGCTCTCGCATTAGCAGTGCCGCGCACTATCGTTTCAAACAATTAGCAACGGCGACGCGGATGATGGCCGGATCTTTTCCAAAACGAGGTTTTCTCTTTGGCGCCCCGCATATCCGTCTTCAAAGCTTGCAGCGGCTACATGGATGGAGGCCGGTAAGTTTTCAACTTCGGGCTTTCGCCGATGATCTCCCACCACATATTACAACATGTTTTCGGGGGGACGTGGGAACCAGATGCCACTTAGGCATTTTCCGCCGAAGTGTGCGGGCTCCGGCTGGCGCTTGCTGTGCTCGCCGCCTTGCAGGGGACAGGCGCTCTTTCTCAGCTCGGAATCCAAATGTTCGGGCGTAATGTGTGCCACAGGTATCTGCATTGAGTGAGGCTCTATCGGCAAGGGCCGAAGAGATGATGTGCACGTGCGTGGAGGCGGCCTGTGCGGTCAAGCCGAGTCCACGCGGCAAATATTAATACGTGTGTCAGCTCGTGGAGCAGCTACACGTGTGGATCGGAGGTGGGTAGTCCTCCTACCCTGACACGTCGATTAAGGAATTGGCCGTTTTCGGTTCGCGAAAGGGCGTCGCGGCCGTCATTTTTGCGGGTCCAGGTCCGTCGGTTCTGGTCCCAGGCCGTTTTCACTAAGGGGAGGTTTACTAAAGGGAGGTCTGTCCACCGCCGAGTGGAGGCCTGTGTGTCTTCAAACTGGGGCGCTCTCGCTTGATCTCCCGAAACATCGCACGTTGCACCGTGTGCAGTGGTTGCCCGCGTGGAGGTCGGTTCCTTTTGCAGCATGGGGCTCTCGCCAGGGACGTTCTCGCATCTAGCGGCCAGAAGCTTGTGAGCATGTGTGCCAGGTGCGCGGATGGAGGTCGCCTTTCAAAACGGACTGCCGCACGAGAGTTCCTCAGGTCGAGCGACCGTGAGTGCAATTTTGGAGGAGGAGGAGGAGGAGGAGGAGGAGGAGGAGGAGGAGGAGGAGGAGGAGGAGGAGGAGGAGGAGGAGGGGGGGCGCTTCCTCGTGAAAGCGGAGCCTCCGCTGGTCGCCTTCGGTGAACTCTGTGCCCTGGACGGAGGCCAGGCAGTTCCCTTGCCAGCGCAAGGGGGTCTCGCCTGCGCTGGCCGGCGGTGGGCGGCGGCAGTGCCGCGCCGCCCTGGCTCGGAGCAAGCCGGCCCAAGGCTGCCGGGGCACCGTCGGGGCTGCGCGCCCCGGGGGGGGGTCCGAGGCCCCTGGGCGGAGGAGGGGGCCGGCCGCGAGCGGGTGACGGGCGGCCGCGGCCGTCGGCTGGCCTGGGCCGCCCCGCCGCCCGGCTCCCGCTCGTCGCCCGCTCGCTCGCGCGCCCCCGGGCGCGCCCCGCCGCGCCCCGCGGCGGTCGGGCTCGCCCGCCCGCCCGGGGGGCGCGGGGGGGGGGGCCCAGGCGCGGGCTTGCGGGCCGCTGTGGCGCGCGTCGCAGGCGCGGTGGGCCAGCAACGCAGCGAGCGTGGCTCTTGCCCGGGGCCGCCTGGCGTGTGGGCGAGGCAGCCGCGCAAACGACCCAGTCATCTCCAACCCTCTCCGAGGCCCCACACGGAGAGGCTCGAAAGCAGGCAGGAGCGGTGCAGGCACTGCATGTTCCCCAGATCTAGGTGCCGGCATGGTAAGCAACCTTCGAACCACACATGATTTTGGAATCCAGATGCAGGCACTGGAGTTCGTTGGAGCAGTGTGCAGCGTCAAGCCAAGCGGAGTTCTATCATTCGCGAGAATAAGCACACATGTCATAGCCTCACATGGCGCCGCAATACTGCTTCACGGCTGCGTTTGGCGTTGACGCAGATCTTGCGCTGTCGTGCCAAAGTTGAGGCAGGGCCTGCTCAATCCCCGCGGCTTTGACAGCATGGGCAATAAGCTATTTCCCTAGAATCTTTCGAGGGCCTCCCCCTTCTCTTCAAATTACATGCTGGTAATCTGCAAGCGTGAGGATGAAGAGCAGTGCGCTTCTCTGGGTCGTCGCCATGCTTCCCGGCAACATGTCCGTGGAGTAACTGGTCACGGCGCAACAACATACTGTTCAGCGGGTCGGCGCCTGCTTGATGTATGTATGGCTGATGAATTCGTCACGTGCTGGTTTGTTTCGTGGAATCTCATTAAATTTGGCCCAACTGCTCTCCGAGCCCAGCTCCCCAGCCGGTATGGCCTCTGATACATTATCATGACGTTGATTGAGCCATAACCCTGTGTATCAATGCCGCTCGAATCCCGCACCAGAGAGGTCCGAGACCATCCAGCAGTGAACCACGTTGAGTTCCAGAACTCGAGCTCCGCCGACTGGAGGGTCGGAATTCATTGAAACGTGAAAACCGGTCCTTCCCGACAACATCCGATTCGAATCATGAGGAGGACAAGATCCTTGACAGGCAGGCCCAGGACGATCGCCCCAGCGCCCTCCGAGTCCCGCTCTGGGGAGGCCCGAAGCCAGCTTCCACAGTGGGCCGCGCTGGGCTTCGAACAACTTCGGGCTCCCCCTCGGAGAGACCCCGGGACGCATCCAACGGAGCCAACATGGATCCTGACTTCGTCCGCGGTTCCCCCCCCGCACAGCGGCCGCCTCTGAGTCCCGCTCTGGGGAGGTGCATGGCAAGACTGAGTGTCGGCGGCGAGCGAGGGGGGGAAATGAGAAGGAGAAGGCCTTCCCGGAAGGCGGTCGGACTTCTCAGAAGCCCTCGCGCCTTCTGAGAAGTTCTCCGTGCCTTCAGGGAAGGATTCGAAAACTCTTCGGAAGGCCGGGGGTTGTCCGAGCTTTCTGAGAAGGCCTTCTCCTTCTCACTTCCCCCCCTCGCCTTGGCATCGCTCGGACGTGTGCATTTTTTCTCGGCGAGGACCATCGAGGAGCATCTTTGATAATCTAGCGAAACATACACGCACGACATCGAAAAATGCACGGGGAATGGCCGTCCGAGCGATGGCGAGTCGCTCGCCGCCAGGAGTCGGACTGGTCCCCACCTCCTCGGAGTCCCGCCTCGGGGGGCCGAGTCCCGTGCCGCGCCCGAGGGCGCGTGGGCTCCCTTCCACGAAGGAGCGGCGCTCCGTCGCGGAGGCGGCAGAAAGCGGGTGGCTGTCGGAAGGGAGGAAGGCAGCGCAAGGATTTGTCCCCCCCCTAGATTAGGGGAACAAAAAGTGACATAAACATAAAAACTCGGAGGTCCGCGCGGATTTCTCGGATCCGCGCTGGACCCCCCTGGTGGCGCTTCCTGCGCCGCCCCTGGCGCGCTCCGCGCGCCAGGGAGGGGGGTCCCGGGCGGATCCGAGAAGTCCGCGCGGACCTCCGAGTTTTTATGTTTATGCCACTTGTTGTTCCCCTATAGATGGGGTCCGAGCGGATGGGGTCGGAGGATCGCGCCGCACCGCCGACGCATCGGCGATGCTGCTCGATGTAGAGCCTGCGTGTCCCCGCGCCGACGTCGCCGACGCATCGCCGACGCGTCGCCGACGCGTCGGCGATGCATCGCCGATTCGTTGGCGATGCGGCGCGATCCTTCGACCCCATCCACTCGGGCCCCATGTAGCTAGGAGGCCTCTGAAGGCGATTCTCCACGTGGGCAAACGCCGTCGGAGGGCCAGATGGGGCCAGGAGCTTGGGCGGGTCCGAGTGCATGGGCAGCTGCCCTGCTCGCGTACATGCAACTTGTGCAACCTCCTCCTCCTCGTCCTACTCCTACTCCTCCTCCTCCTCCTGCTACCCTGCTGTCCTTGAGGCGAAACTCTGTGCAACGTGGAGCTGTCTGAATATGCCATCTTGTGCAGCATGGTGTCAGCCACGTGCGCAAGTTTTGGGCAAACTTGGTGCAACATCCGATGGGCGCTCTGCGTAGCCAACGTTGCGCTGTCGGGGTCGTAGAATGGATGCTGTATCATTCCGTGAGTGCATCCCTCGTTTGGGGGACACAGTTTTAATTGAGGAGCAGGAGCAAGAGCAGGTCGGAGTGCACGGAGAGAATGAGGGCACATCGGGGAGGGGGAGCGATTGAAAACGGCGCACGGAAATAGTTTCAAGAACTAGGCCAGCACCTCCAATTACGAAGAGGCCCCACCTTCACGGTTCAGGAGCCATTGACACATCTCAACGGCACCGTAACGGGTACTTATTAACGGGTACTTTGCAATTTTGCCGAAAGTTGCCACTTTAGGGCCTCTTTCTGGCAATGCAGCGTTGCCCGCATCGGGAAGGGTTGGGTTCGCTGGGTCACTGGCCAAAGTACCCGTTAGTGGAGTCCCCGTTTGTGGGGCGTTGAACATCCTTCTGCCAGCCCCGTCGCGCCGAGTCGACCTCCGGCTGTCCGGAGGACTGGAGATTGCCCCCCTGGGCCCGAGGCTGACTTCCGTGCCCGCTAGAGCGGGAGGTGAGGAGGAGGAGGAGGAGGAGGAGGAGGAGGAGGAGGAGGAGGAGGAGGAGGAGGAGGAGGAGAGATGGAGGAGGAGGAGTGGAGGAGGAGGAGGAGGAGGAGGAGGAGGAGGAGGAGGAGGTGGAGAATCTGCTATGGCTGATGTTTGCCAGCCCGCAGCGCCCGACTCCGGGGCTTTGCCCTCTCTTGGCCTCGACGTGAGGCCCCTCCTCCTGCCTTCCCCCCCTCTGTCAATCAAGGCTGTGCGCGGCCCGCTCGGCTTCGACCGGAAGAGGTGCGCTCTCGACCCGCGGATCAAAAAACAAAAAGTTTGCCAACCCGCTGTCGCAAGCATCAAAAGTCCATCAGTCCGTAGCCCTCTTGGCGCAAGCTGTTGCTTCGGTCCACCGCGCGCGGGCCGCCGCGCCCCCCCGGAGCGGCGGCATGTCGTGGGCGGCGCTGCCCCTTGCTGCCGCGCTGGGGTGGCGCCTGGCGGCGGGCGAGAGCGGCTGGCAGGGGTCCAATCTCGGGCCAGCCACAACTGGGGGAGCCGTGGTCCTTACCCCCCTGGGGGACCCCTCGATTTCGACACCCCTCTCGAGGGAGCGTCGATGCGATGGGTCCCCCCACAAGGGGCAAGGACCACAGCTCCCCTGGTTATGGCTGGTCGGAATCTGACGCTGAGCACGTACTGGGACTGCAACGGTCAAGGCTGTGACGCCGAGACGCTGCAGCCATGGAGGGCTGCCCTGTACGTCAGCCCGCCTGGATATGGCCCCCAGGACCCGAATGACTTCGGCGGGCCCGTGTACGGTGAGGCCATGTGGCTCACCGGCGCGGCCTCCGACGCTCTCTCGGCGCTGCTCGGGCCCGACGATGGCTGCTGCGGCGTGGACGGCAACGACGGCGGCGTGGGGGGCTGCGGCAGGTGCCTCCTGGTGCAGAATGAAGCGTCGCTGCACCCGGAGTGGACTGCGGTCGTGATGAAGAAGAGCCGCTGCCCGCCAAGCTCGGCCGGGTGCGACGCCGACACGCCGCACTTCGACATTGCGGTCCCTGGCTTCGACTACCTCTCCAACTCTTCGTCCAACATGTGCGGGCAGCCTGGCACCGGCTTCGCCAGCCAGAGGCAGAGTGTTCCTCTGGGCTCCTGGTGGGACCTGTGCACCTCGTGGCCCTGCGACCTCAGCCACTTCGAGCACCTGTGCGACGAGCTGCCCCCCGTCTTCCAGCCGGGCTGCAGGCTCTTCACGTCCTGGGGCTGGAGATCTGGCCTCCCCTCCGCGGTCACGTACCGGACCGTCGACTGCCCCCCGGAGTTTGTGGAGCACGTGCGGGCCGCCTTCGGCCCGGACGGCCCCGGGGGCTGGCCGCCAACGCCTGCCCCCAACACCACGGCGCAGGCCCCAGGGAACTCGACGGCGTGCGCCACCGGAGCCTGGGAGAGCTGCCAGGAGTCGCGGTGCTGCGCGGACGAGGGCTTCACCTGCTTCGCGAAGGACGCGTACTGGTCGATGTGCCTGCAGGAGTCCGGGGCGGGAATTTCTGCATGACCACCGCCCGGAGGATCAATTTTCGGAGACCTCGGCAGGCGGTGGATTTGGACATATTCGGGCCCCCGGGGGCCCAACTACATCAATATCCACCGCCCGCTGGGGCACCAGGACGTCGGTTCCCAGGCGGTGGATATGGATGTCAATCTGGGGGTTCATCAATTCTGTAGTCGATCCCCTATTCGGGACACTGCAAGCCAGGATCGGGCGGACGGCAACCAGGGGTCAAAAATGGTGGCGGGCTGGAGCATTACAGGAAAGTTGCCCTAATCACGAGAGCAAGAACCGCCCCGACCCCGACAACTGGCGTGTACTCAACGGCCCCGGGAGGAGGAGGAGGAGGAGGAGGAGGAGGAGAAGGAGGAGGAGGAGGAGGGAGGAGGAGGAGGAGGAGGAGGGAAGGAGGAGAGGAGGAGGAGGAGGAGGAGGAGGAGGAGGAGCCCCGCCTCGCCAGGAGTGCGCCCCCGGGGAGATCAACCCCGACGACCCCCGGGAGTTCCAGACCCCCTGGAGCTGCGCCGTCCACGGGCCGGGGGCCCGCCCCCCGGCTCCGCCGACGGCGGCCCCGACGGCGGCCCCGGGGCCCACGCCCTGCTCGGGGGCGTGGGAGGGCTGCCAGGCCTCGCGCTGCTGCGCCAGCCAGGGCTTCGCGTGCTTCCAGAAGGACCCCTTCTGGGCCCAGTGCCGGCGGGAGTGCACGCCCGGGGAGGTCAACCCCGACGATCCTCCGGAGTACCAGTCGCCCTGGTCCTGCGTCGTCCTGGACGTCGAGGACGCCTGCGGCGAATCGCCGGCCGCCCCCTGCCGTTGGGTGTCGCCCGCGTGGCCCGGCGTTGTGGCCAGAGCTCTGCCAAGCCATCGGAGCATGTGTTCCCACCCGTTGTGTAAGCCCTTCGGGGAACACTTGGGGGAGTGGCGGGGAAGGTCAGGAGGAGGAGAAGGAGGAGGAGGAGGAGGACCCGTGCAAAGCCAAGACTCATCAACGATGTTGTAATACAACCTCCCTCCAAGCTTCCTCTTCGTAGGCCCCTACAAGGATTCGTTTCCAAGTTCCCCGTTGAGAGACAACCGTGTGAAGATCCAGAGGCGTGCCCAAACACCATACTTAGGACTTCAACGCCACGAGTCAACCTGACTGTTGCGTCTTGACGATCCCGAATCGTGCCAGAACACCACTCCTGGCACTCCAACGCCGCGAATCAACGTAACTATTGCACCCTGGCAGTGCTGAACGGTTTCAAAACACCATTTGTTGTACGCTAACTAGGAGAATCCGTGAAACTCTTGCAAGTGTTTCCAACGAGTGTGCGCGGCGCTAAGGCGAGAGTCACATTTTGAAAACGAACCGCCCTCAATCCGTGAAACGCGCAGCCATTGCTGAACACCGCATGCGCGCGGCTTTGAGGCTGGAGCCATCTTTTGAAAGCGCACCGCCCTCAGCCCCTTAAGCTGTCGCAGATCTTCAAGACGAATGTGCGCGGCGCTAGGGGGGGGGAGCCACACTTTGAAAGTCACCTGGCTTCAATCCGTGAGGCGTTTGCAACCTTTTGAGACGAGTGCGCGCGGCGCTGAGGCGAGAGCTGCACTCTGGAGGCGGCCCTCCCTCCGTCGGTGGAACTGTTGCAAGTTTTTGTTTGTCCGCTTGTGGCTCACGGAGGAGATGGAGGAGGAGGAGGAGGAGGAGGAGGAGGAGGAGGAGGAGGAGGAGGAGGAGGGGGGCATCTTGGGAGCCTCTGGGGGCACTCTTGGCGCTTCCTGGGAGCTTCCTGGGGGCCTCTTGGAGGCATCTTGGGGGCCTCCTTGGGCCTCTTGGGGTCGCTTGAAAGCTTCTTGAGGGCTTCTTAGGCCGTCATAGGGCGTTTCTGGCCCGTCGAAAACCGTCTTAGAAACCCCTCTGAACCGATTTGAAGCCATGATGGGGTGCTCCAGGGCCGTCTTGGAGGCCATCTCGGTCGCCTTCGAGGCCTGTTGGGCTGGCTTGGGGCCGTCTTGGGGTCGGACGCCTCTTGAGCCATCTTCGAGGCCCCTTGGTCGATCTTGAGGCGATCTTGGGGGGCTCTTGGGCCGTCTCGGGCCGTCAGAAGGCAGAAAAGAAGCAAATGCCAAAATCTGTTCAAACCCTGAGGGAAATCAATGATGTTAGCCTCTTCGGGCCTTCCTGGAGGACCTCTTGGAGGCCTCTTGGGCCGTCTTGGAGACCTCTTGGAGGCCTCTGGGTCTCCGGGGCCATCTTAGGCCGTCTTGGAGGCTTCTTGGGCGAACTTGGAGGCCATCTTCGACCATCTTGGGCGAACTTGGAGGCCATCTTGTGCCATGTTGGAGCCATCTGGAGCCGGGCAAAACCTTTTGCAGCTGGGTCTAGAAGAGCTTTCCTGGTGGCCGGCGCGCGCTGGGCCGAAGCCCAAGGGGGAGTCTTGTTGGAAAAGAACTAACACCAAAAGCCTCCTGAACCTTAGCACGCCAGGCACCCCTGTCTATAGATAAACACGGGGCAGCACATCTAATGGCCTTCGGCCCATCCCGCCACCGTGCCGGAGTTGTGGGTTACAGGCCTCTCGGTGTTCGTCGGGATGTCGCGGGAGGCCTGTCGGGGGCCTGTTGGGTGCTGTTTCGAGGCCTTCTGGGGGCTGATTTGGTGTTTCTTGGTGCTTCTTCGGGGCCTCTTGGGAGCTTTTTGGGGGCCTCTTGGGGCCTCCATGGGGCCTCCTGGGGAGCCTCACTGGGCGGAAGAATCGGATTTTCGGTTCGTGTTCCCCCTCGTGGACCTTTCTTGGGGCCCTCATGGGCCGTCTTGAGGCGGTCCTGAGGGCCTTTTGGGCTGCCTTGGAGTGTCGGCAGCTCGAAATGTTGAGGACGCCAAAATAGTTGGAACACCTTTTTGGGGAAATAAATGATTCTGGCCTCTCGGGACCCTCTTGGGAAGGCTTTTGTTGGGGCGTCTCGGAGGCCTCTTGGGCCGTCTGGGGGCCATCTTGGACGTATCGGTGCCTTCTTGAGGCTTCTCGGGGCCCTGTTGGACCGCCTTGGGGGCCTCTTTGCATGTCTTGGGGCCCTTTTGGGGCCGAAAAAATTGCACGAGAAGGTGCGCGGAAACTTTATAAACGAGGTTTAAGGGGAGGCTGTATAGCGAACGCTATGTCCGACGCTGTCTTGGCTCAAGGTAGCGCTGTCCTATTTGCCAGTTACACAACTATGTGACTCGATCTGCGGATCGTAGCAACGGACAAAGGCCACGTCCTTCTATGATTCATCTCCCGATCTCATGGTTTCTCTCCTACCTCTCGTTTTGCTTGCCATCAAGGGATGAGTTGTGGAATACTTCGATACGTCGCCGACGTTCTCCTCATAGTAGAGTTCTCATCTTATTACCTCATGGTCAAGCCCTGTACCCTTACTGTTCACTTCGTAGCGAAGCTGGCTACATCTCCGTATGGCTGGCTCTTATATCTGGTGTTATGGACATTACAATGTGCCGCGGCACAGTGGAGTATCTGACTGCACCGGCTTTCAGCCACTACATTCCCAACGCTCTCGGACTACTTGGTAACTTGCAGTCCTACACCTCCATCTCCCCACCGCGTGGCCACACGCCACGCGCGACCCAAACACCGATATCGATCCGCAAATTGACGGCCACGTCAGACCAGACACCCAGCCGCAACTTTACAGACGCGACAGTATCCAATGATACGCATCCTAACACCATCAACTATAACATGACCACGCACGATGTTAAGGTCGCGATATTTGGAATGATCTTGGCGTGCCTAGGCCTTGCCATGGCGTGCATGCGAGGAGGAGGACTCGATGAAACACGCACTCGGGGTCAATTTTGGGACCCCGCAGGTCACGCACCCTTCCGCGACTTTGTTCGCGAAGTACAAGCATGCCTTAACGTCGCGAGCGGAAGTGTAACTCCACCCCAACGGGCAGCTGCTTTACAGCGCGGTTTCATGGGATTGGCTGGGACACTAGCCACGAGGGTGCCATTCACCATCACCAAGTAACTACGGTGCCACACTGCAGGGGAGACGCACCGATGGAGTCACATACATCATGTACCTTCTAAACACCAAATTTGAAAACCTTACGGACGAGCGACAGCTCATCTCAGGGACAGCTCTCATCGACTTCAGAGTTGACAGAGGCGAGCGTGCCGACTCAGTCTGGCCCAGATGGCCAGACTGGAAGCAGACGCAGCAGGCTTCAACATACCCAGCTTCCAGATCTTTACCCTGATCTTATTTCGCGCCTTGGGTTGGTACCTCCCGAACAGCCCAGCTATCGCAACCGCTGAACCACCGGATGCCCCGTACTCAACAACAGCGCGACCGACTCCTGGAGCGAATGCGCAGCCATGGGCACTTGGCTGACCGTCCCCAGGGAACGTTAGGGGCATCTTCTGCGGGCGCAGCGCTGGCGCATGACACGCCGAAGTAAGCGACGCACAGGCAGCCGTGCCGAACAGCATCTGGAATGGCGGAAAGCCCGCTGAGTCCACGACACTCCTAGGCCAAGACGCCCGCGACAACAGCGAACGCTCGCCCAGCCGACACGGTGACGACGTATTCGATTCCGACACGGTCTCCGACGCGGTTTCCTCTACCGGCGCCGATGACGTCGACTGGTCAGACCTGCCCGCCGGTGACGACGCAGCTACACATACTGTTATGTAGGTCATCGCGCCAAAAGAAGGTGGAGTCGACGTTCTTTTTGTTATAAAACAGTTGAGGATTAGGCGAGCTGCGCGCCGCGTCTTCATCCGCGAAGGAACGGGTCGCGGCGAAGATGGTAGACGTGCCCGCAGACTGCACAGTAGAGGCAAAGCCACCTTCCTGGCTCGATTGGCCGACTGCGACTTTATGGACCTACTCTTAGGAGGTAGAGGCAGAGGTAAGAAAGTAGGCATACGACAGGTGAGGGCAAGGGGCGCAGGCTCAATCCAATGGGCAAGGACGGAAAAAAAAGACGACGTGCAACACTTGCGGGGGCGACGAACACTCCTTTGCGCAATGCTCCAAGCGAGGTGGGAAAGGGGGCGGGTCCGTACTTCTTGTCTCGGAGCAGTCCAGAGCGGATATTATTGAATGCGCTGATTTCCCCGAAATCGACCAACTTTGCCGACGCTGCCATGTCGGCGGGGCGCTTTGCCGAGTGCCTCCGCGACGGGGTCGAGGAGCTCTACGAGACCCCCGCTGGGTCGGCACGCGCTGGCGCGGACACGCGCAGGAGGACTCCGACGACAACGACGACGGAAACGCCTGCATGTCCGACGCGGAGACCACGCCCGCCACCGACGCTGAAATGATGGCACAGCTCGGACACGAGCAGACGCGACTCCACCCGCCCCCAGCCCCGACGGCGTTCGGACTCACGGAGGAGCGGGCTACAGTGGCATGGGGACATGCCCACGCCAACGCATGCATGATGCGAGGTAAGTCGGGGGAGGCCCCAATCGGCCCAGGTGGCCCCTGCAAGGGCGACGAAGGGGGCAGTCGCCACGGCCGTAGCTCAGCGGCCCACCGCGCAGCAGGCGTACCAGGTAAAGCTGGAAACTATAGCCCCGACGCGGGCGGTCCTGGCCGCGGCCGCAGCCATTCTCGCGGCGCGGGCCCCTCTAAGGGCAAGGGCAACGCTCGGCCGGCCGAGCCCGCGCTCGGCGCGCGCTCCGGCGACGCAGCCCGGGGAAAGGGGCACGCCTCCTCTGACGAGGAGTGCGCCTGCTCTTGCGACCAGGGCCCACGCGCGGAGATCGACGGATCCGATGTGAGCTAT